TCTCATCCAAGTACTCACCAGGCCCGACCCTGCTTAGCCTCCGAGATCAGACAAGATCAGGCGTGTTCAGGGTGATAGGACTGTAACCCATGCATGTTTTATCTCAAAACAATCCACAAGGCAACTCTGCCATATTTGTTCCATGCTACAGAGGAGAAAAATGGTTCAAAGACTTTCTCCCCTCTGCACCACAGGCACTTTACTGGTGCTCATACCCCCGGGGTGTACAAACCAAATGGAAGGGGAGCCAGGGAGAGCTCGGCTGTTTGGACCCTGGCATGAGCAATGACAAGAAGTTGGGGCCTTGGGGTACCTCACAGGGGAAACAGAAAACCAGTTCCCCAAGTTCAGCTGGTTTGGCAAAAGGATCCTCAAGGTGAGATGACTGGGCACAGGAACTCAGTTTGCCTGAGTATCTGCCACCCTCTACCCACCCCTCCTTCCCCCAAAAGTCCCTTGGGTGGATTCTATCCCTTTTCTCCCTCACGAAGAGAGGTATGTCAATGACTGGCAGGGGAGAAATTGGCCCAACTCCTCCATCCGTCTCCAGGATAACGGGCACCCATCCCTAAAGCCACCTAGAATCAACAAAACTCCTGCTTTCCCCAGACACCTGTATCTTACTCGATCCACACCAGAATACTGAAATAATGCTTCTTTTCACATCATACCACTCCTCTGAGGAGTTATTTTCTCCACAGGACACTTTACTGTTTCGAGCAGTTTTACAGTTGGCTGCCCACAGACAAGAACAGGTGAATCCCAAAGAGGAAACTGCAGGACCATGATCCCTTATCTGAAAACCTGGGGGTCAGATGTGCCTCGAAAGTCTGACTGTGATTCCAAAAGAGTACTGTAATGCATTTAGCACACATTATGTAACACTCAGAAATCAAACTCACTAACATAACTGCAGCAAAACTTAGCAGTATTCACACTGAGTGAGATAAATATATACTATAGAATCTCACACTGGTTCAGATTAAGGTTTACCACCAACCGGGTATGCAAAAAGCCTAAAAAAAAAAAATCTTTTGGTTTTCAAAGATTTTCCGATTTCAGAATTGTCCATAAAAGATTACAGACACATGCAAATGGCTCAAATACTAGAAAAAAATAGTCAATAGACTAGTAATTGAGAACATACAAATTCAAACAATCAAGGTACCAATTTTCACCCTCCCCCCAAACTTTAAATCTTGTGGAGATTTCCCAAAATACCCAGAGCACTGTATTTTAGCAGAGGGCAAGTGGGAAAAGAAGACTTGCTCCCAGTCAGTGGCAGCAAACTCATGAATCTGAAGCGTCACTTTGGGCTTTTATATATTTCCAATGAATTTATTAAGTGACTTTTTTAAGCTAACTTGTCAGATATGAAATTTCTTCGTCTATAAAAAAAACGAATATTGAAATTATTCTAGTACTTAAAGGATCAACCAATGAATGCATGAATAAGTGAAACAACAAACTGATGTTTCTCTCTCTGAAATCAATAAATCTAAAAAAAAAAATCTAGTATTTAGTATAGGACAAGGTGTTGTAACAATTAAGTAACCTGAGTACACAGACAAGAACCTGTCATAAAACAGAAATAATAAACATGCCATTCCTTCCCCTCTGAAGAGTGCCTACGGTGAATTAACCCCACACTCCAATTTTAGTCTTTGGTAGCCACACCACACGCCTTATTCCACCTGCTTTCAGCAGCCTACCAAATCTTCACCCACTGCCAAAGTGCCCTAAAATAATTAGAAACCACTCACATAATAGTTTTAACCAATGACAATTTAAATCACTGTTGTACTTTTTAAATAACTTCTCAATATATAATTAAACTTCAATATCCAAGCCCAACAATTTGAAGTGACGCGGACTTCCCATTTGAAGTAACAATGAAAATTTTTGCTTCTATCACCTAGAACAGTGGTCGGCAAACCTCAGCTCACAAGCCACATGTGGCTCGTTGGCCCTTTGAGTGTGGCTCTTCCACAAAATACCACGGACTGGGTGAGTCTATTTTGAAGAAGTGGCGTTAGAAGAAGTTTAAAGTTTAAAAAATTTGGCTCTCCAAAGAAATTTCCATCGTTGTCCTGTTGCTATTTGGCTCTGTTGACTAATGAGTTTGCCAATCGCTGATTTAGAGCTTTGACCTCTCTCATTCAAATTCAATTACTCCCAAATAGATAATTGATTGATTTATCTGGGGGGCCAGGGTGAAAACAGGAGGAGAGGGAACAACAAGCACTTCTCAAATTTTTCATTTCCTCTTTAAATTAAATTTGGACTTGGAAAGCCCAAATTCCAAGGGGTGCTTTTTCAAATATTCTGTCTACTGATGTGTATGTACATCTGGGTAGCTACCTGGCCAAAGGAGAAACAGAATTTAATAAAGTTTATCTTTAGCATCTCAATGAGGAGTGAGGAGGCTGGATGGCAGCCCTCAGAACCCAGAGAGAGGGCACTTCTCATTCACCAGCCCCTGGACCTTCGCCCCTCTCTCCTTACCAGGAGGCTGTGCCCACTGGCCAGAAGAGAAACAAATAAACCCAAAGGCTGAGTAACCAGAGAACTGAAGGACATAAATAAGCCAAGGTGTGGAAAATCGTCCCTTCTGCTGCTGGGGGTATTTAGTTTCAAATGCTGCTACTGAGAAGACAGACATTTAATGAGATTCACCTACAAGGCAGGAAGTGACACTGCCACAACCTACCGGGAAGCTATCTGATCTTCCCTCTGCTTCCCACCTTCTGATAAACCCATGCCTACAACTTTAAAATGTCCCAAACTCCCTGTCTTACCATCTCAACAAGATTCCTGCTCTATTTTATCTCTGGGGACCAATGGGTACAGAGGAAAGAGAATGAATGAACTTTGGAATTAGGCTAGCTAGGTGATCAAAGATAAAGATACACAGATAGAGAGGAACACTCACCTCCTAGTGATTCTGCTTCTCTGATTCAATGCTGACTGATATCTTAGCTATGTGACACTGGCTCAACTGTCTAACTGCTCTGGGTCTCCGTTGCCTCCCTGGAAACTACAGCTTCCCAGGGTTATGAGCTATAAGTGCCAAAATGCATATAAAGTGCACAACTCAAAGCCTGGCATGTCTCAGGCAATCAACATTATTTCCCTTTTCTTTCTCCCGACTTCCCAACATTCCCAGCAAACACGAACACTGTCTTACATGCCAACGGGTGGCCAGCTATTGACTCGTCAGGCCTCAGGGCATCCTGACAAACCTGTACTCGGTTCCCTTTCCTTTTTAGATACCTTATGCTTATGATGTGTTCTCTCTCATCAAAAAGGTGACTGTGCAAAATCAATGAGTTTTTCTCACGTTCCTGGGTGCAGACCAGAGATCCATGGAAACACAAACTTCCTCGAGGGGAGTGGATTTCTCGTGTGGATGGAGGATTACATGCATCAGGTGCTGAATTTTACTCCCAGTTTTAAACTCTTCAAATTCTGGAGCAGCTGGCTCTGTATCTCTCACCTCGGGTCCCCTTTGAACCTGGTAACACACCTACCTACCTGTCTCAGCAGCGAAACGCAGGCTATACACCGAAATCTCCCAGCCCATCAGTAATGCATGTCCCTAGCTGCACGTCCCCGGGAGGGAAGGATGGCGGAAGGAAATACACAGGTCTGCTCATAAAGACTCAGGAGATAGATTATCCACGCTGCTTCCTGCCTCACGTGTTCTGGTTTCTATGAAAAAGTCAAGGCCAGAGTGACAAGCCAGTTTAAAAGCTGTCACTGGAAGCTTCTCCGGGGTGAGGAACAGCAGTGTGTGTTTTTATGGAGGAGACGGTCACAGTGGGAAGGCTTCCAGATGCTTATTTATGGGGACCTGGAGAGGAGCTGCTCCAGCTTAGAGCTCCTGACGTAAGGTTCCAGGGGGTGGTAACCTCAATTGGCCCAGAAGGTATTCGTGTATGATTATTTTTTTAAAAACACTCAATGAGGTAGCAATTAAGAAGGACTTTTGTATGCATGCATAATAAGCATAACCAATGGATGCAAAACTCTGGGGTGAGAGGGCATGTATGGGGAGGGGGGGAATTGGTAAGATATGTACACATATAATACCTTAATAAAAAAATGAAAGAAAATAAATAAATAAATAAAATTTTTAAAAAGAAGGAGAATGGATGGTGGTGAGGACTCCCTGGTGCCTACAGTTGCATAAACACAAGAGTTTTGAGACAAGGACAAGTTGCATATCCCTCTTAGGTTTCCATGAAACATTCCTGCTCTAATAGGCTCATCGTGGGCGACGACACTTTTATCATCTCCGCGGTGGCTTCCTGCCCTGACCGCAGAAGGTTCCTTTTGTGGTGACAGGGATCCTCTCGAGAAAAAGCAAACAAAGACTGTCAAGTCCACGGACGCGTCTTCCCTTTCCCCCCCCCCCCAGGCCTGATTTCTACAGGAACATGTGAGAAGATACCTGAAATCCCCAACCTGTTACCAGAATGCATGCAACCACTAAAAATAAATGACAACTTGGAAAGTGAAGACATGGAAACTCGGCCCAAGGTTTTAAACTATAAAAGGACGGGACGGGGGGAAGGACGGCGGCGATAGCGCACAGGGAAGGTCGGTCTCCGGTGTCACGATCTTCCGCTCGCGGAGCCTTTAGGACCAGCGGGGCTCCGGGGAGCCTGCCTGGAGGAGGCGCCTCCGAGGAAGGCGAGGCCAGGCCGGGTCCCTGCACTGGGGACAACTCGGAGGTGGGGACGCGGGCGAACAGGTCCTCAGAGGAGCCGGCGAGGGGAGTGAAGGCGGGAGCCCCGCCGGCGGGAAACGGAGGGATCGAACCCGCCCGGGCCGCCCGAACCGCCCGAAGTTCAGCGCCGGCACCGGGGGCCGAGCCCGGACTAAAGCGCGCGGGGCGCAGCGGGGCGCAGAGGGGGTTGCGATCTGGTTGCGACCTGGATCCCTCGCCTCCCCACAACCCTCCGCCACGCGAGCCCCAACCCCGGCGAGAAACTCACCCGGGGCCACGAGCGGCGAGCTCACGGTGCCCGCCACCAAGACAGCAGCGGCGAAGACGGCGAAATCCGGGAGTCCCCGCGAGGCCATCGCCGCGACCCTTCGCCCTCTCCCCTGGGGTGCCGCGTCCCGGGACCTGGCGGGCCGCGCAGGCAGCTCCGGAGCCGGCGGGCGGGCGCGCGGACTGGCAGAGCTCGGCCCCCGCGCGCGCGGCGGACCCCGCCCTGGCCCCGCCCCTCGGGCCCCACCCACCGGGGCTCCGCCCTGCGTCTCCGCGCCCAGCTACGTGGCCCCGCCCACGGTCCGCCCACGGCCCCGCCCGCCTCCGCTGGCCCCGCCTCCCGCTTGCTTGTTTTCTATGTGGTCACAGCTTCAACAGCCCGATTCGGAAAGGCCCCGCCCCCTATGCCCCGCCTACAGCGTCCAGACCACGCCCGCTAGGTTCAGGTCACGCCCCCTCTCGTCTCCCCCGCTTCCTTTCTGAGCTGGGTTTTACCGCAACTGCGAGGAGGATTGCGCGGGAGCCCAGGGCAGGGGCTGAGTCAGCTTACCCGCCCAGGCTCTGATGCCGGGCGGGCGTGGGAAAAGGAAAACAGAGGGTCGGGAAGCTCTGGATGCAGACGTGGCCAGCATGGGCGTGGGCACGATCTTTTTTTTCTCTGGTGGCATCTCTATTCAGCTGGCATACCTACCCCTCGGTGCTGCTCTGGATGTCAGATGCCACTGTTTGAAAATTGAGAGAAGGCAAATCATTTAAATGTCCTCCTTTCTCTGCTTCCATTTAAGCTACTCCTATTGCGGGGGTGGGGTGAGGGTGACCTGTACATACCTCCAGGAATAAATCGCCTTTTTTTAAAATTGTGTGCTACACTACACCTTGCAAATACATCCACAAAGTATTTCTTCCAATGCTTAGTCAGTTATTATCTCCTCATATCCTTACTAGAGGCCTGGTGTACAGAATTTATGCAAGGGGGAAGGAGGAGCCCCTCAGCCCCGTCTGCAACCTCTTGTAAATGGGGACCCCTTGGGGAATGTCCAATTTCTGTTTAAGCCCGATCCTAAAGGGATCCCTGTGGGATCAGGCCTAAACCGACAGTTGAACATTCCTCTCACAATCTGGTACCTCTGGCTCCTAACCCTCTCTGCCTGCCTGATCACCCCTAACATCCCTGCCTGCTGCCTGATCACCCTAACTGCCTCTCCCTCGGCCCTTGCTGCAGCAGATTCATCCAGAAGGATGTCCAGAATGACATCCAGAAGGGTCGTTTGGCTATCCGGTCTAGTTAGCATATAATGCTTTTTTTTATTATAATAAATCTATAATAAATCTATAGATTTATTATTATAGATAATAAATCTAATAAAGCTCTATGATAGTATCCCCATTTCACAGGCTGGGAGTAAACCCATGATGGCCAGGCCACGGGAACAAATTGGAATTAGCTCATCTTCATTATATTTGCTTCCTGCTGGATTACTGATAGCATACACTAAGGGGTCAGAAGTGATTTTTCAAGTTGAATCGTCATCCCAAGCACTGATCTCAGATCCTGTCTCTGAGTAGTTACTTCTTATTTCACTGTAGAGACTTCTGAAGCAGGGAAGTCAGGCCTTGAGAAAATACTAAGAACATGAATAAGGCCATGGAGGGGGACTGGGGGTGTTTACAGAATGGAGCTCTTCCTTGGCCTGAGGGACAGCCTTTAATATTCAAAGGACTTCTTATCTTCTCTCTGAGTCCTCCAAGCAGTCTACTGGGCCCTTGCAAACATTTGCACTAATGTGGGAATTGCTGCTGACAAGAGGCTCTACCCCTGCAGATGGCTGGGCTGAGTGATGAAGCCTCTGCCCTTTGAAGTCAAAGGCAGGCACTGTATGTTCTGTGCACAGTTGTCCTCACATCCTGCAGCCTGGCTGGTGAAGCAGTTTTATAACCAACATAAAAACAGAGAATGGCTGCAGAGGAAAGAGGTCAGTGTAGGCTTCTCACCAAAAAAGGAGAGAGCCCCGTGCTTAGATTTACATTGTAAATTGTTAAGTGGTAGCCAGAACCAGCCATATAACTTTGCAGAGCCCAGTGTAAAACCAAAACACAGGGCCTTTTGTTCAAACTTGAAAAATTTCAAGACGGCAATAGTGGAGCATAAATCCATCATGGAGCCCTTCTCAGTGTCTAGTCCTGTGCAACTGCACCCAGAAAGCCAGCCCTGGCTTGGGAACTAAAGATGCAAAATGCTTGGACCAAAAGATCTATTCCAAATGTAAAATATCGTTTTAAAACTAATGATGTTTCACTCTTTCCTCAGAGACTAAACTTTCAATTAAAAACAGAAGATCAGCCTGGCCAGTGGGGCTCAATGGTTGAGCATGGACCCATGAATCAGGAGGTCCAAGTTTAATTCCAGGCAGGGCACATGTCCGGGTTGCTGCAGGCTCAATCCCCAGTAGGAGGTGTGCAAAAGGCAGCCAACTGATGATTCTCTTTCATCATTGATGTTTCTATCTCTCTCCTCACTTCCTCTCTCTGAAATCAATTTTTTTTAAAAAAATTTAAAGACAAAATCATTGTTAACAACATATTTGAATTGGATGTCTGCTGTGACTTTCCAAAAATAAAAATGCAATCCAGTATCTAAAACTGGAGGAAATCTCAGTAATCATCTACCAAGCCCCTTATTTTATAGATGAGGGACAGGCAAGATGGCTTGCCTGACATCTCATACCTAGTAAGAGCCAGGGCTGGAAACCAAGTTGCTGAAATTTAGCTTCTCAGACTTTTCCGTAACACTTGATGCTTGACACTCTATAGTTATCTTATACTGTCACACAACCCCAAATACTTGCATTTGCACATCTTGCTAAAGGGAGGGAGAAAGGAACGACTGAGGAAGGAAAGGAAAGAAGGAAGGAAGAAAGGAAGGAAGGAAGGAAGGAAGGAAGGAAGGAAGGAAGGAAGGAAGGAAGGAAAGGATAAATAAATAGATTAATTAATTAATCAAGGAGCTGAAGCTTAAATTAAGTCTGTACTTGCAACTACAGACTTGTTTACACAATTTAAAAGCCCCACATATGCATATTTAAAAGCTTTTGCTTATTATTTAATAGAGGACCCATGAACAAAATTTGTGCACTCAGGATGTGTGTGTATGTGTGTCCCCTCAGTCCGGCCTGCGCCCTTTCACAGTCCAGGAGTCCTCGGGGGATGTCTGACTGATGGCTACAGGGAGAAGGCCTAAGCCATCAATCAGACATCCTAAGTGCTACCCTGGAGGCGGGGGAGGCTCCTGCCACCCCTGCTACACTCACCAGCCATGAGCCCAGCTTCTGGCTGAGCGGTGTTCCCCCTGTGGGAGTGCACTGAGTACCAGGGGAAAGTTCCTATATTGAGTGTCTGCCCCCTGGTGGTCAATGTGCATCATAGTGATGGGTCATTCTGCCGTTCAGTTGATTTGCATATTAGCTTTTTATTATATAGGATTTTAACTAGAGACCTGGTGCACAAAATTTGTGCATGGAGGGAAGGGGAGTCCCCTCAGCCCAGCCTGCATCCTTTCCAATCCAGGACCCCTGGGAGGATGTCCAACTGCCAGTTTCTGCCCAATCCCAGGGATAGGGCCAAAATCATCAATCAGACATCTCTCTCACAATCCAGGATTGCTGGATCCTAACTGCCCCACCACCACCAGCCTGATTGCCCCCAACTGTCCCCCCTGCCAGCCTGGCCACCCCCTCTACTGGCCTGCTTGCCCTTCACTGACCCCTTCTGCCATCCTGGTCACCCCACACAATATGCTGGTCAGTAGTTTGGTTGTCCCTCACTACCTCCCCCTGCCAGCCTGGTCACCCCATGCAGCCTGTTGTTATTGTGAGAGCATCATGACCAATTTATATATTACCCTTTTGTTAGTATAGATTGGCCAACAATTCCTATTCCATGAAAGTTATTTTCTATATTATGAAGGAGTTCTCTTATTTCTTCTACGGAAGTAAAAATTGACATCACAAGACTAAATGATCTTTCCATTATTTCAGAAATAAGTTTAAAGGATAGTAGGTAGAAATCATTGCAACAATACTAGTAGCTGTCTTTTACTGTCAGCGTGGACTTAGCCTGATCCTGTGGTGAGCACCTTTCCTGTGTTCCTTCATCTCATCCTCAAAGTTCATAATTTGGGAAGTATTGATACAGATCCTCACTTCAAAGCTGTGGATGGAGACCAGGATTTGAGGGATTCAGGCACTTAACTTATGTCACACAGCTGCTCACAGCACTGCCAAGACTCCAGTCCAGGATCAGTTTGCTACAGGCCTGCACTTCATCTACTTTTACTGTTCTGCCTCTAAAATGCAGAATACCGGTCAGTCAGCCTACCTTTTCCAATGTAAAGTCTTGTTCTGTCATTGCATGCTTAACCTAGCCTTTGTGAATTCTGTCAACAATTGCTTACACATTTTTTATCTCCAAGGAGAAAAATGTAGCTATGGGAATGGGTGATGAATAAGGTTCAGAACTTTGTTGATTTTTTTTTTAAGGGGGTTATTTTCCAGTTCTCTCTAAGAATTTATTTAATTATTCCCCTTAGTAAAAACCTTTCCTGTTTTGCTCTGTGCTGCTAAGGTGGTAATTTTCATCACCATCGTTTAAATGTGTAAGACTCAGTCAGCTGCTATTTACTCTAATGTTGAAAAACACTTCCGCAGAAGGTCTCTGTAGAGTTTCTTTTTCCTGTGATTTAGATGTAGTCATCTTTATTTTTGAGAGGTTATACCCAGGAGAAAAGCTTGCAGTTCTTTAAGAAAATACATTTCCAGGGGAATAAAATGATAATTTATAAAACCTCAGGTTATTTTGACCTGACATGTATGTACTGCATTCTTAGTACTAGGCTAAGGAAAGGAGGGTCACTGCACATTCAATTAGAGACCCTACCCTTGCTTACAGAAGCTTTTTCAATCTTCCTGGGGAAAGAAAACAACAGCAGAATGAAATGGAACTAGTCAAAGGCACAGGGGTCATTGAATAAAGCCCTGCCAATGGTACTCTCTGTGCCTTTCAGCAGCTTCTCTTCCATCTGTCTTTGTACTCA